GTCAGGCTGTAACAGAGAGGCTTCTCTGAGCTGAGATGTGAAGGATGAAGAACCACCTAGGGAAACATATTCAAGGCAGGAGAAACAGCCAGCACAAAGGCTCCAATGTGGAAATAATGGCAGTATACTGAAAACCAAAAGAAGGCCATTCAGTTGAGGCAGAGTCAACAAGTGGGAGAACAGAAGGTTATAAAGTGGACAAGCACAGTGCCAGGATTTGAACCCAAGTCTAAGTGACCACAGATGCCAGCTCTCCAAAGAGGACATCTTCCAAAGGTACCCATGACATTTCCACATCACCCAGAAACAAGAACCATCTTGTTATTAAGGAAAGTATGAAAGCCACTCTAGGCCTGTTTCTCCGTGGCTGAAATGAATGGGTTGGAACCACATGCTCTGTGGGGTCTATTTTTTGCCCATGGAATTCCCATTCACCCTTTAAGGCTAAGCTCAAATGCCACCTCCTCCAAGTCAGCCTTCCCTGATCCCTTGCTCCAAGATCCAGCAACACATCCCACGTACCTTGACTGGCACTCCCACTTTTCTGAGCGCTAGTTTTTCTGGCTTCCTCTATGATGCTGCAAGCACTGCAAGCCAGGCTCTGCCTCTCCTTTCCACATCACCCACACTCAAGCTGTCCCACTTTTATTCCTCTTTCAAGGGTTCTTAGGGTAAAGAAAGACTCACTTAGGTGTTAATCTGTCTCCAAACAGTTGCTAATGTGCCCTTTCCTAGTGAGGATGTGGCCAGAGCCCAGGCTCCACATTTTGCATGCAAAGGCCCTGAAGAAAATATAGGAGGGTCAGTGAGGAAGAAGAAAGAGATACTACAGGAAGAACCCCAGAAATACAACCTGAATTTCATGGCTACCCAAGACAAATGGAAGTCCCCAGGAATGACTATCGGCCTCTTTGCAGCTGCAACTTAGCAGGGGGTAGGAAAATGCCATCTCCTTCCTTCCCTCACTGTGTGGTCTTAGACAAGTGACTTCACCTCTCTGAGCCTTGGTTACTCAGTCTTATCAAGGGAGATAATAATGCTGCCCCCATAGGGCTTGTATGGGGATTACTGGTGATCAAAGTGCCTGGCATGGCAGAAGATCCAAGATGGCTGATTAGGAGCAGCTCAGGATTGCAGCTCCCAGTGAAAGTGCAGAGGGTGAGTGGACGCCGCATTTCCAGATGGATTTTTATTGCCCACAGACCAGGAGATTCCCAAGCGGAGGAGCCCCACCGGTCACCAGCACGGCTGTTTTGGCCGGCGTAGATGTTTTGCTGGTGCCCCGGTGCGGCAGTTCTCTGTACAAAATACACGGGCCTGGGAGCCCTTTTAGCTGGCGATTGGAGCTCCAGGAAGGCAGAGTCGACCATTCATCTGATTAAAAAGGGGACTGAAACAGGAAGCCAGGCTGGGAGATTCCCAGGCAGAAAAGCACCACAAATCTCAGCGCTGCTATTTCAGCCGACGCAGTGGGTCACTGCACGGGAAATCACACAGATCCCGGTGCCTTTTCAACAGGCAACTGGAACACCTGGGAGACAGTCGACCGTTCAACTAAAAAAAAAAAAGGCTCTGAGGCAGGGAGCCAGGTGATCAGGCTCGGCTGGTGTCACCCCCACAAAAAAACAGCAATTGGAAATGCTCTGGGTTGAGAGTTTCACAGCAAGCACAGCTGAACCCAGGAAGGTCCAGCTCTGTGGGGGAGGGGCGTCCACCATTACGAAGGCACTCCACCACTATGGAGGTAGTCTGCTGTTGCTGAGGCATCCCACCATTGCTGAGGCAACCCGCCATTACCAAGAGAGTCCACCATTACAGAGGTGGGTCACCATTGCCAAGGCAGTTCTAACTACACCCATATAAACAGGACTGCAGGCAAGTACACAGGGCAGCTGGGCGGAGCCCACAGCAGCTCAGCAAAGCCTCTGCAGGCAAACAGTGACTAGGCTGCCTCCTTGCTGGGCAGGGCAGCCTTGAAAAAAAGGCAGCAGCACAATGGAAACTCATAAATAAGGCCTTAACTCCCCGGGACAGAGCACCTGGGAAAAAAAAGGGGTTTATGAGTTCTGCTGCAGCAGACTTAAACATACCTGCCCAGCGGCTCTGAATGAACAACGGAGCTCACAATTCAGCACCTGAGCTTCTATAAAGGACAGACTGTCTCCTCAAGCAGCTCCCTGACCCCCGTATATCCAAAGAGTCACCTCATAAAGGAGAGCTTAGACAGACATTTGGCGGGTATCCTTCTGGGACAAAGATAGTAGAAGAAGAAACTGGTAGCAACCCTTACTGTTCTGCAGCTGCTACAGGTGATCCCCAGGCAAGCAGGGCCTGGAGTGGACCTCAGCAG